CTGGCATCTTTTCTGCTCCCATTCTCACAGGCCTTTAATATCCTACCTATATTTTATGCCTTGGCTTAAAAACTTATTCATTGAACCACTCTCTCCCCATTGAAGAGACATTAGGTGCTCTCCAATACAGTTTTATAACAATCTTCTCCTTGGAAGCATTCCTTCCTTATATTAGACTTTTAGCAACCTTAATTCCAAATTCCCTAAGAGCAGGGACCCTATAAAAATTGCTCACTGCTACATTTCCTACAAGAGTGGCACCTATTAAGTGATCAATAAATGTATGTTGAATGATGGAAAAGAAGTAGGAATGAGAAGCAATAGCCCCTTTTTTTCTACCCACCCCATCCCACACCCCCACAGCCCATATAAAGCATCATGTCCACATCACAGAGACTCCTAAGAAACAAAGAACACTTGTAAAATAGTAAGAACAAACGAGAAGTCTAGATACTATGGCTTTTGAATTATATCTAAAAAAAACTCAAAGCATTTAGAACCTGGAGGGAGAAAAAGTAGAGAAGAAATTACAGTTATGTTTAAATAATTAAAGAGTTATCACACACAAATATAGTTAGGATTTATTCTGTGTGAGTTAAGAGAACAGAATAATAGGTAGAAATGACCAGGTGGCAGTTCAAAAGAAGGAAGAACTTACTAATAATCACAGTTCAAAAACAGAACGACCATCCTTCAAAGGAGGTATTCGTGCTGAGGTTGCACGGCTACTTGACAGAGAGAGAGAGAGAAAGGAATTCATCAAGTACACAGCTGGACTAAATGAGCTCTAAGGTCTCTCCAACTCATCCATTCTACATTTATTAGGAGCCAGCTGTATACTATGCCCATGCCATATGCGAGAGATATAAAAAGGAATGCAATAAAAGGTCTGCACAGGAGAGAAGACAAATATTTAAACAACTGTAACAACTGTAGGAGTAATGCAATAGTGTCTATGTTGCAATGATCCAACATGAGACTACAAAAGATTAAAAAAAAATACATAACACATATACACTCTGTGCTCTCCACTTATGTTAATTCTGGGGGAAATCCTACCATAAAAATGTGATGCTCACAGTTATTGCTACTGGGCAATCTGAACTACTCTATCAGCTTCCCCTGATCCACACTTTGAGAGTCTATGCTTTAACGTGGTGTTGCATACTATTTCTATG